GAGATGTAAGAACGGGTTCAGTCCCTGGGTTGGGAAGATCACTTGGAGGAGGGCATGGCAACCCACTCTAGGATTCTTGCTTGGAGAATCCCATGGACAGAGGAGCTTGGCAGGTTACAGTCCATAGAGTCACAAAAAGTTAGACACAACTGAAGCAACTTAGCATGCATAGTGATCTCTGATGTTACTATTACAAAAAGATTCATGATTTGCTGAAGTCTCAGATGATACCATTTTTTAGCAATAAAGTTTGGGGGTTTTGTTGTTTTTTTTTATCATGCAGGATCTTAGTTCCCTGACCAGGGACCATGCCCCCTGCATTGGGAGTGCAGTACTAACCATAAAATTACCAAGGAAGACCCAATGATAAGGTATTTTTTAATTAAGATATGCACATTGTTTTCTTAAGACAGAATTTTAAGTGCTATACTTTAAGACAATAATATTATTGCACATTTAATAGACTCTGGAAAAGTGTAAACATAATTTTTATATGCATTGAGAAACAAAATGTGTATGACTTGCTTTATCCCGATATTCACTTTATTGCTGTGATCTGGAACCGAACTGCAGTACCTCCAGGGTATGCCTGTGACTGCAAACTGGAAACAACACAAATATCCAACAACAGGTGAACGGATAAATAACACATGCTCTATCCATAGGATGGGATACTACTTAGCAATAAGAAGGAATGAACTGTTGATACACTCAGTGGCATAGATGAATCTCAAAGTAGGTTTGCTGAACACAAAGTATACATACAGTACAATTCTATTTAAATAAAACTCTAGAAAATCCAAGCCATAGTGATAAAGATCAGATCAGTGGTTTCCTGGGGAAAGGGTGAGGAGGGCATGAGGGAGGGCTTACAAAGGGTACAAAAACTTTTGAGGTGATGGATACAGTCACTACCATGAATTGTGACGATGGTTCCACGGGTGTGTATATATATGTCAAATTTTTCAAAATGAACGCTTTAAGTATATACAGTTTACTGTGTGCCAGTTACATCTTAATAAAGCTGTTTTTAAAAACAAAACATCTAAAAAATGTTATGTCTATATCTTAATTCTAAGATTTTATCAGAAAGAATCAGAAGTGTGTGCTAAGAAATAAAGTCTCCAGGCATTCACTGCAGCATTATTCATATACATACATGGAAACAGCCTAAATGTCTAAAAGAAGATAACTGATTAGGTAAAGTATGGCATATCTCTGTGTTGGAATGTGATACAGCCATTAAAAATCATGCCGCAGACACAATATTTATTGTCATGAAAAAACGTTTATAATCTATTTCTATGGGGGGAAAAAGCAAAGAACAAAACAACATGTATAGTGTCGTGGTGCTATATTTTGTAAAAGTCTATGTTGGAGTTTGATAATTAATCACACTTCTCACTTTCTCTCAGAGTTAGAAACCAACTGAGAAATGGACTAAAGAGTCAGACAAAGAACAAAATACCAGTTTTATTACGAAGAGTTCTGACTGGGAAAATGTAGCTTAGAGCTAAGGCAAAGTGGGCTTTCTACTCTTTTCCTCTGTGAACTCTCCTGACTCACTCAGAACTAAGTCCTGCCTGCAAGGGAAGGGGCAGCCCTGTAAGCTTATCCGTGGGAAGTGCTTCATGATCCCAGGCCACAGGTGGTGAGCATCCGAGTCCTGCCCTTTAGACACCATACTATCCCCCAAACAGTGGGACAACAAAGAACCTTCCCCGCATATCTCTCAGTGCTCACCAACCAAGGGGAAGGGAGCTGCCCGGCTAAAGGCCATTAGAGGTGTTGAGGACAAGTTGACATGAAATCCTTGAATCTCAGAGTGGAAGGGGAATGCTTAAATAATTTCCCTAATCACTTTCCCATCCCAATAATTCATCTCCCCATGAGTACAGGGGAGTAAGTGAGGCAGCAGAAGGAAAGGTGGAAATACTCTGCCTAATGTTTCTTTAGGGATTGAAGTCCCAATATAAGTGTCCCCTTACACGCTCCATGTCTCTATATGGTAAAGAAAACCACCTGGAAGGACATGTGCCGCGCTGCCGTAACAGCCACATTGCTTGGCTGGGTAGTGGGACTGAGAGAAACAGGAAGGATTATCAGTGATTATTTTCCTTTGGCTCTTTGTATTTTTGGTCTTACAAGTTTTCTGAATACAAGACTTTTGCTGCTGGGGCAGGGAAAGCAAGAGAAGACCCCTTTTTAAAAAATAAACTAAAAGGGAAGAGGATTCCTGAACTTTGCAGAGCTACAGTGCTGGGTAGGCATTTGACCTGAGACCCCCCTCCCTGCTTCATTCTTCCTGGGTCATTGTCATATATTATGTGGAAATGCCATTTGGGGACACAGTGCCCAACATCTGTAACAGCATTGCCCTGGAAGTGTCCAAAGTGCTCTTAAACAGGTTTAGAGTTTACTTTTACTTCTCCTTAGCTAATGAAGAGGGTGGCATGAAATGACTTTTCCAGAACAGCCTCCACTTAGCATCCCCATGGGATCGACTTTCAGGCATGCCCTCGATCAATCTTCTCAAACTGACCAAACCAACACCTCAGAGGTTCCAAACTATTACAAAACCAAAGTCACAAAAAGTATGTAGCTATCCAAAGAGTTCAAGTTGGCAACATCAAAAAATACGATGTAATGTCACAATGCTGTCCATAATACATTGACATGATTTGTGTTAAGATAATAATATATAAAGCTATATCAGTAGCTTTGTCCTATAATAGGAAAGAAAGTTTTGTGAAAACCATCTGTGATTCTAGCCATAGCCTCATCGAAAGTCTAGGCTGACGCCCTCTTTGAATGTAAGGCCAGGTCTCACATCCCATCCTCACACCCCATCTTGCCCCAGTGTTATCTCAGATGCAAGCTCCAACTATCATGACAGACTCAGTCCTGATGGCAAGCCCACTTGGAATGGCAGAAATTCCTAAGATAATTTGGGACACGTTGCTGAAAATGCAGCTTAGCAGCATGGAGATGCTCTCTTGCAAAGCCCCCACCAACACACATACAATCAACTACCGATTCAGAATTTTTACAATCAGAAAAATAAAAGTTTCTTTAAATTAATGGCTTTTCTATCTGTGGTTATAGCAAATTCCACACCCTCTGAAACTATCCAAGGGTGAAAACAGTCTTCAGAAAGTGTTGCTTTTAGAAATTCTGGCCAGCTTACCCCACAGGTACCTCATTGACTCTGGGCTCTTGTGAGTCTTCTGTGAAAGTGTTTTACCCAGAGACTTTTCTGATTGAAAGCGTTCAAGCCCAGCATCGTTTGCTGGTACCTAAGTCCTCTGTCTGAGTGGTGCCTGAGTCTCTGTCACCTAAGTCATTGACACCTTCTCTCTGAGCCACGTACTTCAAAATGCCAGCTCCCCCTTCCAGGGAGTAAGGCAGAAAAAAAATTTAAAAACACACATTGAATCCTGACAGGCAAGCACTTGGCAACCAAGAGCACTGCATTCTGGATCCAAGGCTTGGGTTGGCTAGGGGAGAATCTTTGGAGCCAGAAGTAGCTCAGGGATGCATGGATGCTGGGAACTTCATCAGGGATTCACCACGATTTTCTACACTGATATATGGTAGGAGATGCATTTTATATTGCGATCCAGTACACACAGAGAGCTGCAAGTGGACACAGATAAAAACACAGAACTAAAACCAGCTCCTAGACTTCAGGCCCACCAACTCTGCCTGCTGAGGAATAGTCATTTAATAACTATTTCTTGAATGAACAAAGCAAACCCAAATCTTAGTGAAACAATACTCACCAGTCTGATATTTTCTGTTCTATTTTATTCTTTTTCATTTCTTTAGAAAGGTAATGAGTTGCAACTCACTAAAGTGATGTCACTGCTGCCACCACAAACAGTCCTGTTCTGACAGGACTTCTATGCACAGCCTTGTCTTCATTGAAGATTCCTGAAATTTGTCCTGTGGGAAGCTGGTGCTTGGGGACATTGGAGGCAAGTGGAACCACACTGGGACATAACCAGTTCAGACAAAGGAAGATTTGGGGGGGCGGGGGCAGGGATGCCATGAAGCTGGCCGAGGGCAAGGGCACTTCTCTCTGGGTGAGACAGACCTATGTCATGTCTCCCCATCCCTGTCCAAATGCTGTCACTGTCCCCTCTTATAAAACCCCCTTCACATCCAAGAAGATTTTACAAATGGAGTCAGAAGTCAGGCTGGCTTCATCTAGGTAGGAAGGACCAGGCAGGGGGTAAAAAAGGGTTGTTTAAGCTGCTGTGAAAATCACAGAGTCACCTGGTAAAGTGAAAATCCACTCAGATCCAAAAGGGAGGAATTAAGCAACTTTGTAAATAAAGGGATCATTACTCTTGATGCATTAATACACCCTTAAGACCTATCAAAAACTTCCTATTTCAAGATGAATGAAGAGCATTAGATGCTCATTTCCCAAGCTGGATGGGCTATTTTCACTGCCCAGCGCAGGGGGGTCAGAGGTCAGCAGGGGCTGGCCCAGGTGGTGCACTAGTGGAGCTATGTTGGGGTTCCAGGAGGGGATGGTCCCCACCTCTCTGTGATTATGAAGGTTGTAACCACAGCCCCGTTTTTCACTGAAGGCATGTGTCCGCTGCACACCTGATGAAGTCGGGAGGAAAGTTCTATGCCAGTGCACTTGCCTCCTCCAAGTTTCATCATCATTCACCAAGTAAGCATAATTGCTCCGTGTTTAAGAGATGCTGGGAACAGGGGCGCTGTTGGTAATTGCCTAATGGGCAGACGAAATGAGGTGTGAGGCACATTGGTGTGAAAAAAGCAATAGCCACAAGTTTATTAACATTAAGAATTAAAATAAGCTCTGCCCCAGCCAAGCAGTCCTTGCTGCAATGGATCCCATTATCCCTCTAATAACTGCACAGTGCTCCACTGGATGCTCTCTGCCCCAGGAGGTGGAGAGGCCTTCATACAGGTCACCTCTCTGCCAGCTTCAGAAGCTGCAATCTCTGGTTCACTGATGACTGTCAGGGAGGAAACGCAAACACCCCCTGCCTCCCCTGTAGCTCCTCTACATGCATGCTAAGTGGCTTCAGTGGTGTCTGACTCTTTGAGACCCTCTGGACTGTGGCCCGCCAGGCTCCTCTGTTCATGAAATTCTCCAGGCAAGAATACTGGCGTGGGTTGCCATTCTCTTCTGTAGGGGATCTTCCCGCAGCTCCTCTAATTCCACTTAAATCCACAGGCAGGCACTTGAAGAGCTGTGAAAGAGGGAAGCCAAAGAGAATGATACACCATTGTGATATGGGTGCCTTTTTAAACAATTGCCAATTAGCATTTATGAGGGTGGACTATAGGGTTCTGGAGCTGAAAGTTACTATGTCCCGCTGATGGAAGTCAGGGGCCCCGCCTGGGGCTCGGCAACCAGCCTTGCCTTCTTTCTTCAACCTTGATCATGTTATCAAACACTTCTAGATGCCCAGTGCTAGGAGGAGAGTTGCCCTTGACCTCGAGCACATTTAATCTATGCAGAAAACAAAGCTCTCCTGGGTAAAATAATCAGAAAGCAATCAGTGAATGCTGAAGCCCAGAACCTAATGAAAATGCAGAGAAAGGAGAGCCAGGGCTGTCAGAGCTCCCAGAGGATGTGCAGCTTAGGTATAGGAAAGGCAGCGGGAACTGCATGAACAAAACTTAACAGACTCAAGGCATTCAGAGTGAAGGACGGAGGCCGACCAGTCAGAAGGCCAGCCCTGAGCTGGGAACCGGCAGAGCATAGGCTTGGGTGGGCAGAGAGCGCCGCACAGGGAAAAGCAAGTGTGGAGCCTGGATCCAGTGCTGGACTTAGAGGGAACCCTTGTAGGTTTCAGAAAAGAGGAATCATGGGATTAAAGAATTTAAATCACTCTATGTTAAACTCGCTTTGTGTTGCTAAATTTTGATCTACCTTAAATTTCATGAATTTCACTCACTTTATATTCACAGCCACCAACTTCAAAGGGGCCTTGGTGTTTCCCCACAATCCAGCTCCATCGCCCTGGTCCTCACTCCCTTAGGTGCTGAGTAACAGCTGTGCACTTTTTTCTCCCTTCTCAAACATTCAGCGCTTCTGCCAGCATCCTGCTTTCAGCTGCTGACCCTGCATCCTGTTCTTACTCCTCCTACCTCTAACCCACCAGCCTGCCTGCACCGCCACCACCCCCGCACCTCCCCCACTCCCCACCCCCGCAAGCTCTGGTCACTCTCATTTCTTTGAATGGACCTTCCTGCTCCAATGGAGGGCATCCCTCCACCTGTGTGCCAGATCAGTCCCCTCCCTTACTCAAGGTCACTCCTCCTCTTCTCCCCAGCCCCCATCAGCACACACACTGCAACAATTTCTCTCTTCTTAAAGAAAAAACAAACAAAAACTGATTCTTGCCCTCATGTTTCAGGTCCTGTCCCATTTCTCTACTCCCCTTTGCAGGATGATTCCTCAAACGAGCTGAGCTGTCTGCATCTGCACCCTGCATGGACTATAGCGGGCATCCTCTCATGAACCCGTTTCAATCAGGCTTGGCCCCGCCCTGCCACCATACCACTCTCCTCACCCCTGACCTCTATGCTGTTAAATGCAAGGGTCATTCTCATCTTATTTGAGCTCTCAGCAGCTTTCTTCACTTAGTTCCCAGAACACATCTCCCCCTTAGACTCTGGCTGGTTTCTTCCCATTTTTTTCAACCTCTAAAAATTATAGTGCCCCAGTGCCCAGTCTTTGGACCTGTTCTCTCTCTAAATTATATCACTTTGGTCTCATCCAATCTCATAGTTGTAAACACCATCTATTTGCTAACAAGCCTCAAATTTATGTCTTCAGTGTGGACCCACTCGAGATTCCAGAGAGATCTCTATTTGGATGTCTAACAGGCATCTCAAATTCAGTATTTTCAGAAACAAATTCCTGGTTCCTGGTCCACCTCCCACTCCACTGTGACACACACACGCATCACCTCCTCCTCCCACATCCTCCTCCATGCATGTCCTTTGGTCAGGACCAAAACCTTGTTCCTCCTTGATGCCACTTTCGAATCCATCAGCAAATCCAGTTGACTCTGCTTTCACACTCTATCCAGTCTCTGACCACTTATCATCTCCACTACGACCTCCCTGCTCCAAACCACCACCTGCAGCAAGCTGTTGGCTGGTCTCCCCACCTCTGCCGTTGCTCCCATATCAGTTCAACATGTCAGCCAGAGTGATGCTTTACAAATAGATGCAAATCATGTCATTTCTCTCCTCAAAGTCTTCTAATGACTTTGCAGATCACCCAGAATAAAATCCAATATTCTTACAATGGCCTGAAGATTCTTTCACTCTCTGACTCCAGTTCCTTCTCTGACTCTGCCTTCCCTCTCTTGCTCTGCTCAGCATGCCAGCCCCTTGCTGTTTCTCAAAGCAAGTTCCTTCTGGCTGAAATAGAATTCTCTCAGACAGTCACAAGGCCTACTCCTTCAGTTCTCCCAGATCCGTCTCAGTCTCACTTGATTAGTAAAGCCTTCCTTGGCCAACCCACATAAGCCCATTCTGTTTAACTTCTCTCCATTCAGCCTGTCACCACCCCACATTTTACTTGCCACTCATTCAGTATCTCTCCCTTAGAATATAAGCTCATTTGGGGCAGGATGTATGTCAGTGTCTAATATGTAGCAGGAATTCAAGAAATACTCAGTGAAGGGATGGGATGGGAGGGGGCTGGGAAGGAGGTTCAATTGGGGAGGGGATATATGTATACTTACAGCTGATTCACCCTGTTGTATGGGCTTCCCTGGCAGCTCAGGCAGTAAAGCATCTGTCTGCAATTCAGGAGACCTGGGTTCGATCCCTGGTTAGGAAAGATCCCCTGGAGAAGGAAATGGCAATCCACTCCAGTGTTCTTGCCTGGAGAATCCCATGGACAGAAGAGCCTGCTTGGTTACATTCCATGGGGTCGCAGAGAACTGGACACGACTGAGCGACTAACACGTTCACATGACAGAAAACAACACAACATTGTAAAACAATTATCCTCCAATTAAGAATTAAGAAAAAAAACACTTGGTGAGTGAACAATATTTATTTGAACCCTCTCTTCTGAGCACTTGCCATGGACAAGGAAAAAATTTTTCTCTGCTCTAGCTATCCTTTGCTGGTGGTTCAACATCCATGGCTTGATATAACTCCCATGGATGTCATAACACCTACCTTGAACATAGGGTGTTGCTGCCATCCCCTTTCCTCCATGCCCACAGCTTTCAGGATCACCAAGGTGAGTTTATATCCATCCTCTGTTCCCTTGTCTGGGAAATGAGTTTTCTGATGCCAACTGCCGCTTGGCAAAACAAAAGTAACTGACTATAACCCACAGTTTCCTTCCATTAAGCTGAGGAAGCAGTGGCTGGGATGTCCATCTACTTACTATGTGATTTTGGCCAAGCTTTTTAATCTCCTGGATCTCAGTTTTATTAAAAATAGGGTGGGAAAAGTAAAGCTAAATTCTGGAGTTATTGTAGGATTGAATGAAATGGAGAATGGAAAATACTCAGCCCATAGCACTTGCCCACTAAATGTTGGTTGTCTTTCTCTCCCCATCATGAAATGAAGCAGAACTTCATGGTTCTCCCCGCTGTCCTCCACCTGCCTTCTGTCTGCAGGAAAACTTCAAAGAACAAATTGAATAGAGAAGTGAGAAAATGCAGAAGCAAAGGAAAACAGACAAACAAGACCAAATAGTAATTGTTTAGCCATGAGACAAAGCCAAAGACCTTTAGTTCCTCCTCCTCAAGGGCTATAGATAATATTCTGAGCCACATCTTCTGAGCTGTCTTGTAGATACTGAAAGCCCTGCCAGGTGGAGGAAGTTAACTATATGGTGACCAGACTGTACCCTTAACATAACTGCCACAATTCTGAGAACTGCCTCAAAGAAATGGAAACAAACAAACCCCTAGAACTGAAGATTAACTGTACTTAGTCAAAATGATACTGATCAGACCACCACACAACCAGTCAAGATGACTGTCAGAGCTCACTGGGCTTTTTCTGCACGTAGCCCCCCTCCTTCTGCCTCTACACCCCTGAAACTCCTCTTTAAAAGCTCTTGCCCACTGGTTGTCAGGAGAGAGACAGCCTTTGGACATAAATCTTCCCTCCTCTCAAATAAAGCACATTTTCCTTTCCACCAACTTTGCCTGTTGAGTATTGGCTTTTGAATGGCAAGCAACTGGACCTCACTTTCATTAATAATCAGAAGGTGATCCTAGAACCACTCTGAAACCACAGTTTTTCTTTTTTTTTGCACAGCTTGCAGGATCTTTGTTCCCCAACCAGGGATGGAACCTGGGCCCTCAGCAATGACAGCACAGAGTCCTAACAACCACTGGACCACTATGGAATTCCCCCAGATCGCAATTTCTAACCCAACACTTGACCATTGCCCTCCAGATGCCCGATGCAGACCAGCAATGGCTGTCTAAAACTGTTTAGGCCATTCCCCACTCCCCTCCCCCTCCTCCTTCACACACACCCACAGAGGGACAGGCTGCCCTTGGCACCCCTCTGACATTTATGGCAGTACTTCTCTGTCCTGCAAGGGTGGTGAACTGAATTCAGAAAAATGACAGGTCGTTACAAATATATTGCATGTTGTAAAATAAAAGAATGTCCTTGTTAGAAAGCCAAATGACTTACTTTGGGAATAACTTTAAATATTAGGCATAAAATATTGTGAATGCAGAATGCACGTGTTACACTCTGGTAGAGTACTTTAAATATACATGTGATGCTCCAATATCGATACATGTGGACGTTAGCATTAATCCTTTAACTGGAATGCTCCCTGACAGTAACTCTCCATTACTCAGCTCTTTATTGATTTGGGTTCATCTCTAAAAGTTCAGACTTGGAGAATACTCAGGCCGAATGTCAGCTGAGGAGAGCAGCATGGACTGTTGGTAATTATCCAATGAATTCCAGTAATTATGCAATGAATTACAAACTGTCTATACCAGTATTTCCTGGAATTCAAGAAACATGGATATGTGAATTCAGCAACATACCTGTGAACTTTTCAGGATACTTTTGGGGAGTGGGTTGGGGAAGTGGGGTGTCCAGCGGGAGGATCTTGTCCAGCTCCCACTGCCCTAGTGCTTATTCATCCACATCTCCTAACCCCAATTTTTATAAACGTATGTATTCATATGACTCTTGGTTTTAATCTGCCACCATTTCCTTATGCCTCTAAAGA